AAAAAATAAAAAAATCAGAAAAATGCAGTGAGTAGTGATTATCAGATGTATGGTACATACATGAATGCTTAATGAGTGGCATAGCCAAAGCTAAGATTTAAACCCCACAAAACATCTGTGACCTGAGGTTTAGAGCTCACAGACGCTTTCCCCCCCAAGTCAAACAGTTGGAGAGGATCTTCCAGGAAAAATGAAATCAACTGTAATTTGTGCAACGCTTTTGAAGGCCTTCCCAAAAACGCTTGAAGTTATTTTAGGAGACTTCTATGACGTACTGGATAAGTGCTTTTGTAAATGAATCATTTCAGTTTTTGATTTTACTAACAAATTTGTAAAAAAAAAAAAAAAAAAGATAAATAAATAAATAGGTAATTTGGTTAATGAATGTAGATTGATTGGAAAACACATTTTATCCATATGATTCTATAAATCTGCAACCCAGTTAGTGAGCTGAAGAAATCTGAATGATTTTGCTACAGTTATTCCACTGCCAGGACACCGCTGTAAACAACAAACAAAACCTTCACTGGTTAAATACACCATTTTGGGGCAATTTAAAAAAGATTTTTAAAAAAAAGATGCAAAATTTTTTTTTAAAAAAAGGACAGATTTCTACAAAGCAATGTTAGTTATTTAAAAACGTAAAATAAGTGATTGCGCAAGTATCCGCCTAATTCAACACAGGTGGGGGATAGATACAAGAAAATGTTCAAGTTACTGAATACCCTTTGGAGTACAACTAAATCCATCATTAAGAAACGGAAAGAATCATGAAGAGCATCCATAAACGAGTGAAGGAGGCCACCAAGACAACTGTGACGTCCCTGAAAGAGTTATAAGCTTCAGCGGTTGATATGGGAGAGACTGTGCATAAGACAACTATTGAATGTTTTTTACCATTAACACCTTGGTGGGAGAGTGGCAATGAGAGCTGTTGGGAAAAAAAACAACAACAACTCACATTTAATCTTTACTTAAGCACTAAAAGGAAAAAACTTCCAAGAGGGTAAATACTTTCTACTGTAATCACCCTCTTTAATAACCAACTATGCAAGCACAAAGAGGAGGAAGAAAGAGGGACTGAAGCAATAAACATGAAACATTTGGATTTTAGTGCATTTTATTGTATTCCAATTAATCCTATGGTGTTCACAGAATTGAATTTGGTCAATGAGTTTCCGAATACAATGTGTGTCAAATTTAACTTCACAAATAATTGTGACAGTTCTTCCCCTTTCTTCTAATTAGAAGTATTTGTGACTGAATTTCCCCACATAAGCTACTTTCAATTAAAAGCTGTTTAATATAGATACTGAAATGGTGATAGCGTTTGCTTTTACACTTTGTGTGTCTTTGAACCTTCATAACCAGTAATAGCCACTTCCTGTCTTGTGTCTATTTTTGCATAACCGTGCACTTCCCGCTCAGTAACAACCCCAAACATTCCCTTAACTTTTCTGTTTTGCAAACTGTGCAGAATTGACCAGCTGATCACACTTACACAGAAAAAATAGCCTTTGACTGTACTCATCACCTGATGCTGGATGGAAAAGCCTTCCTAGTAATTATACCAACCACTGATTGCTTCATGACTTACTGTATCTCACTCTGAAACTTGTCAAATCCCAAAACATGGTTTGTGCATTAGATCTGTTTTCCTGCAAACAAACATCTAGACCCAAGATGCACTGATACATTTATGCATTTGCAATTTTAATCTTATCTTGCTCCCTGCATGCTGCTAATTAACAGGAGACTGCAACCGTGTTAGTGGCACAGTTGCGTTTTGAGCTAAATGCTAATGCTAACAGGCTCACAGTGATGAACACGCTGATAGCTACTTGATGTATTTTATCCTGTTTGCATGCTAGTCTGTGCCAATAAACACATGTATAGCTGTGACTCATGGAGAGGACATTAGTTTTACTGATATGGAGCAATAAACGTAAATGTCTGGTAGTTTTAGGAGTTAATCACTGCACTGAAGGTAAACAAAACAAAACAAAACAAAACAAAGCAGTTCCTGAAACACTCCAGCCAGTAGTTTTACGACAGTTTAGTTAAAGCCACTCATATCAATGTAGTGTTGGGAAGAGATGAAAAAACACAGAATCACCAAAGTCATTTGGATTCATCATTTGGGAACCATGAATATTTGTGCATATATAACGGACATATCATTTGTGCCAATTTTCTGCCAAGTTATTTGTTACATGTAAAGATATTTCACTTGGTAAATAAAAATGTTGAACGTCAGGAAAAGTTAGTATTCCCAAAGTCTTTAGGGTTCATCTTCTTGGGAGCTTGGATGTCAGATTACATAGCAAGGAATCAGTTCTGGAACTTTACCATGACTGCCTTAAGTGTGCTAGAAGGGTTTTTTTTCCACAGAAACATAAAGTCCAATAAACTCATGCCAAGGTTAGTTAAGTTGCTTGTATAACTTGAGGCTGGTCCATCTTTAGGCTTAGTACTTTTTTTTTTTTTTTTTTTTAAAGCTTTGTCAGTTTTGCCATTGATAATTCTTTGTCAAAGTTCCCTTCTTGTAGTTTAAAGCTCAAACCTACGCTTTTCTGTGAATCCCTTTTTCATAATTTTAGGGAAGTAGCTGCAGGAATTTGCTGGCATTCAACCACAAGTATATCTGTGAACTCAAACCTCAATGAGATAAAGTGAAGCGTCACATTTCCTCTGACAGAAGCTGCATGAAGTTGACGTCAAGACTCTACAGGCAAGTAAAGACCGAACACTGACCCGTGCAGTATGCACAGCCCCAGAGCTTCCAAATATCTTGGCAATATACTATAATTTTAAATAAAATGTCCCAGTACAACTTTCTAGCTCGTGTGAAATTTGCAAAGTGATGCACATTATGTGCACATTCCTACATCTCTACCTGCTGCTTTTCTGTGCTCACATTGAGATGCATTGTAAAAATGAAAATACAGTCTGGTAGTTTTCAAGAAATTACAACACCAATACAAATATACAGATTGTCAGCACCATATCCAGGTTTCAAATACTTGGATAGCTGCAGTGCTCTTATATAATCCAGGAGTTTGTGGCATGTAAACACCTCATCCAGGTCTCTCAACATTGTTTGCGGAACATAGCGGCTGTGAAGGGGAAAAATCAAGATACAGCTGATGATCAGAAACCAGGATGCTACTGTGGATGTAAATACCTTTAGAAATAATAATCATAATAATAATTTCAAAGTTGGAGTTACAATGTGCTTTACAAAAAAATACAAAGCAACAATAAAACATAAAATATTATGCCCTGGCCTAGGGGAACCTTTGACACAACATGAACTGGTGCTCCCCCAGTCTTCCCACTCCAAGAAAGGCCAGCAACATCAGTAAGTTCCCAATGAGCAGTTCTTATTTACTTCAGAGGGAGACATGAGCCAACATGACAAACTAAAGTATTCTAAATGAACCCTAACTTCCCTAAACAAAAGAAAAGGTAAATAAATGACAAATATACCTCCTATAAAAATCAAGAAACAGGGAAAAAAGGGTTAAAAGAAAAAGGGCTTCCCCCTCCTCCCACTGCTGTACTATTATTTACAAGAATTTACAGGGTTTCACAAAGTCCTGCTCTAACTTGCTCCGTATAAAATAACAAGAAGTTTCCCAAAATAAAATCTCCACAACGCGCCAAGTATCTGATCTCTACTGTTACATCTTTCTACGATACCACGCAACAACAACGTGGCATGCTGACGTTTCCTGGTGGTGGAAAGGCCGGAGAGGGGACAGAGTGCAGTCGGCGGGCTGTTCAAATAGTCCCCTGACCAATTGCGTGGCAGAAATCAGGCGAGGCAGCGAATCAATGGTGAGGAGAAAGAGGTTAAAAGTTCCAAAATCAATTCCTACATTTCATGGGTTGAGTGTTTCATGTTCACTGTTGGAGCCAAAATTCAGGGAATCAGATGCCGCCCAAGCCTTAAATGCAGTAAAAAGCAGTAATGCAGAGGTTGGCTTGCCATTATTATTATTCAGTGGTAAATGAGACATACAACTGGGAGCAACAGTAGTGGGACACAGTGATGAAATGGCACATTTAAAAATGAATGAAATCTGACCATGAACTGACATCATGTGACATCAGCGCAGTTGAAGAACTTTTTTTTTTTTTTTACTGTAACACCACACATTTTGAAAGTCAGACAGAAGGCCCACCATGTCAGTTTCACTTGCTACAGTCAAAACACTTAAGTGGAAAACCACTCCCCGCCTTCTACTTTCCCCTTTCTGTCTCATCCCCCTTGTGGGTCTCATGATGTGGGAAACACTACACATATTTCATCACTGAGATCACATAATTCCAATCTGATAAGCCGGCAAGATTGTGATGCAAGAAGTTTTTCTTTATATGGATTTATTTATGTATTGCTGAAAACTGCTTGTTTGGCTTCTTTGGCCAGTCGAAACTCATCCCTCTCTCAAACACACTCACACTTAAGTGGGGATTCCAGTATGTTTGAGCACAACTAGAGTCACTTGAAGTTGTAAACTTTACTTTCTTCTTTGCTGTTGTTGTAGGCAATGAAATTTGAAGCCGCTCCACCCTAAAACAATCTGATCCCCTCCAGGCCCACACAAACACCTCTCCTACAAGCGAGTCCAAATTAAGTCCAAATGCGCAACACTTTCAGACTATCATCATCTCCATTGTGCCACTTTTGCCAGCTTGGTTCAAAGTGTTGAACCTTTTGTTTGCCTGTGTCGGAATGTAGTGAGCTGGAGGCAATGCATTTTTCGTCCCTTTCGTTTTCCACCGCACAGATGCCTTTGGCTCGCAATTGCGCAACAGCGAGTAGCGATGCGGAAAGTCTGTGCCTGTAGTTTTCTCACCTCTTGAGAGCAGCGAAGGAAGGGGGCGTGTAATTGTGTGTGTGTGTGTCTGTGTGTGTGTCTGTGTGTGTGTGTGGAGGCGACAGGGAAACCCATGACTTCCGCGTTTTTCCTCTCTGTCTGAAACTGAATGCGCGTAAAATAGAGTATAAAAAGCCGTCATGGTGCCGACGGTGGACACATTCACTCCAAGAGTCCGAACTGAGCTGTGTGATACCGAGCGCACCATCTTTGTGGATGTAACCCGCCTGACAGCTGGAGCTATACTTCCAAACTTCCAAAGCTTGCACTTGCACCTTTAGCGTTTTATTCGCTGAACCTACAAGCTGAGTGGACAACTTACTGCCGATTAATGGGACAGCAAAGTAAAGACGTGGAGTCGCTCCAGGAAAGCGGTCGTCGACGTGGAAGTTGCTTGGACATTTTCCTCGTCGTGTCCGTCCTTTCTCTGTTTGTGACTTTGGCAGCTCTGACCGCCGGAGGACTGATGGTTGTGATGGAGCTGCGGTCCGACCTGAAGACTATGCGCAAAATCCCTGAAGTTGCTGGGCCCTTAAAACTCGAAGGAGGCCCGCCTTCTCCAACAAATAAAGTAAGCAAAGTTGTTTATTTATTTTTTCCTGTCATAAAATTTGTAGAATCAATCTAGCTGTATACTTTTTCCAGTTGATCCATGAGCTTTTGCACATTTTAATCCACATCTTCTTTTCTGTTTTGCCAACAGACGCAGAATTACGCCTACCTGGAACCCACCTCAGGTGAGTCTCATATATGTTAAATGCATACATGTAATATAAAGACAGTTTTATTAAGTTAGAGAGAGAAGATAAACTTCTTTGGTGCGATAATGATTCTTTTCCTGCCCGTTTCTGTCTCCACTGACAAAAACATGGACAAATATATAAAGATTCTACATTTGCATTAGAAATATTAAATGACAAAGGATTAATATTGGTCTTAGTGGTCCCAGCAAATCTGTTCAGAAAGCACTAGAAGGAAAACGAAGTGTCAGATTTGATATTATCTGGTGTAAACAATGTCTAAAGTAAATGTCTTTGTCCCCTCCTGCAGTCAAGTTGAGGAACTCCACCATGTCCTGGGCTCACGTCAACCACGGCACTTGGACATCTGTAGGACGCAACTTTGAGTTTGACCAAAGGCAGCATTCACTGAAGCCAAAACAGGAGGGGAACTACTTCATGTACGTTGATCTTAGCATCGAGTGCGTCTTCCAGTGCAAAACAGGACTACTCAGAGTGAGCATAGGTGATAAGTTCACCTGTGAGGTGGAGCTTCCAGCAAATTCAGCCCCTGTGAGCAGAAAGTGCTGGACTGTGAGCTGGCTCGGTGATGAGAAACTGTCAGCTCAGATGACTGTGTCAGAGGGAGGACTGGAAAACTGGAAACTGGTGCTGCCTAAGTCAGGATTCGGGGTTTTCCTCGTGGACTGATAGGGACGCTGCAGTGCCACTGCTTACATCTGGATGCAAACGTGCCCGTGATCACTAAAGAACACCAGTCTGTGTTTTCTTAAAGCCCAAGTCGATGCAAACGGGCAGGCACTGGTGCCATGTTCAAAAGCTATGATGAGGTTGCTTACGAACTGAAAGTGTAAGACAAAGAAGCTAAGAGATAAAGGTGGCTCTTCAGGAGAAGTTGCATTTATGACACTCACCTCATTCAATGTAAATATGTATATATGTTTCACTGTGTAGTATATTTATTACATGTTAGAAAACTATTTAAATATTGTATTTATAATAATGCTGCCATTTTCTATATAAATTTATGTTGATGTAGAAGCCACTACATTAGTGATGTGCAATACACTGCGATTTTTAAGCAGCCTAAATTGTGTTCAATGTAACTTTGTAGCTCTGTTTTCATTTTACGAACAGTTGGGGGCATAAAGTTTACAAAAATGTTTAGTTAGAATTTTGCATCTAAAAGCACAATGAGCCCTTTAGAGACTGCATTTGGATCTACTGTATTTAATCAGAGTGATTTAAAGTCTCTGGCAAAGGATGAATAACAGTGATGAGTAAAACTATGCACTTAAAATAGTGTTTGCAGATGCAAAGTCTGATTAAAAAGTGTCCAAATCAAAGCTCGTGTGTTTTTAATGCAAATGTTTTGTCAGGGACAATGCACATTAAATTCGGGCACTCACAAAATGAAAAAGTGTTTTGCTTTTTAAAAAATATGTAAGTCCTATGGACAAACTACTCATTGTTGAATGTATTTTGTTGTTATCCGTAATAAACCTGGATTTGGTAAACGCTGAGTTCATTTTAGTGTGAAAAGAAGGGAAAAAATGTGTGTGAAAAATGCTCGCCGCAAACCTTCAAGTGGAGTACACAAGTTATTAGGTAAGGGAAAGTTCCCTGCTGTTACGCAAACCATACCGGGAACTGGATGCACATCACATCCTGTTTATTTAAGACTGAGTGCGGTTTACTAAAAAAAAAAAAAAAGAAAAAAAAACTGTGAGCCAGCAAACAAACAAACTAACACCTTCCATCCGATGTAAACTCAATATGCAGACATCAAGTGAAAATACGAATTATTTGCTAGCGTAAAGCATTACGTCTTTGATTTGTCAGCACTCAAATAAAGCCGAAGGCAAGCTGTAGTATTTGTCAGAGAGGAAATGCTGAATGCGACGTGGAGAAACATAGTCTGTTTAATTAGATCATTACTTTGGAACGCACATAATAAAACTGGACAGTCTTTACCAAATCAATAAAACGTGCACCATATTTCCTGCAATTTTATGTGTATTTTTGTGCTTATTTAGTACTTTATGGCCACTCTTCTTTAAAACTACTGATTGAAAAACAAAATGAAAAGCAGAACTTTTGTATTGTTTATTTTCAAAGCGACACATCAATAACGTAGGATGTGTTTAGATCTTTTGATTAAAGCAGTTTTTACGGAGTCTCAGTTACTGGTACTGATGAACCTGTAGAGAGTTATCACCTCACTCTGTAGCTTATAGAGTTTTATGACTTCCCTTTCATTGTTTAGAAATACGGCCCACGGGTTACTGTTTCAGTTTACTCTCAGCATTGTCATAGCATCATTTTCTGACCTTGCAGGAAGCCGATTTCTGAGAAAAAGCTGTAAAAACTGAACGTACGATACATAGTCAGCCAAAAACCACAGGCTGACACCTTTAACAGTTACCTGGTGAACATGCTGAAGCTTCACGCTGTACAAGAGGCAGATATTTTTTTCTAAGCAGTTGATCGAGGCCAAGAACAGAGGTAAAAGAGAGGAAACTTTGCACTTCCAATGATCAGATAGGCACAACACCAAATAACAGATAATGTAACTGTATCATTACTGGATGCTGTTTTCTTGAAAGATAATGGTATGTAAGCACTGAGTTCACAACCTGCTGCTTCCAACAATTAGTCACTGCTGGTTTGCAGCCTTCCTACAGAATTTTTAGGCTCTAGCAGCTCACTGGAGCCACTTTTCAAAGAGTGGGTTTTCATTTTGTTTGTAATGTGCAGACTCATGTGGGTGACGTGACTCATGTTTATCTTTTGTTTCACACTATACATACAGTGGTGAACACTTCTGGTGGTGGTGGTGGT